CCTAAGTGAACCAACTACTCAAACTCAAGAAAGATCCTCTTTCATTATAAATGTTTCTCTCCAGCAACCATCCCTGCAGCGTTTCTTTTCCAGACTAAACCATTTCTCTTTCTCCCTTTCCTTTATCTCCCCATTTCCTCATGGCACCCAATCCCCAAACTCTCTCAAGCTTTAGGTCTCTTTCCCTGTATCTTGAGGAGCAATGGTTCAGATAGAATCCCTGAATCAGACTTGGGAGATGAAAAAAGTGGGGAGATAAAAACTAGAAGAAGCAACAGAGGTGGGGTAAAGGGGAAAGGGGGGCTGGCCAGTCAGCCATAGGAGTGATGAGGCATGAAGAGTAGAGTCTGAAGCCCCTAGACACTCTGTTGTGCATGTGAAGGGCTGGGAAATGGGGACCAAAGGGTTTGGGGGCACGTGCTCAGGACAGGTACCTGCAGGAGCCGTCAGGTGCACAGCAGCCGTGGGCCAGGTCACAGTGGGAGCTGCAGTCATCGGCTGCAAGAGATTGATGTGGGAGCGGTGAGTCTTAGTCAGGACACAGCTACCTGGGATGGGGGACTCAGAAGAGGATTGGGGTTCCGGTAACAGTGGACTCAGCCCAAGGGCAGGACAACACAGAAACCCATCCCATTCCAAAGAGGCAACCTCTGTTTTGCTTGCTCCGCGGGTCGGAGCGGCTGCAGTGCAGTCTCCGGCCGGCAGAGGTCAACGTGCAAGCGAGGACCGCTGGATAGGGCCGCGACTAGAGCCCGCGGGCGCGCTCACCTCGGACAGGCTGACCCGGAGCCCCCAGAATGCACAACAGGCACACGAGATGCAGGCAGCGGCAGCCGCTGGGCATGGTCAGCGCCGGCCCCAGGAGGGACAGACGGATGGACGGCCGGACGCGTGGACACCTGTGGGACGGCACCGGTTGGGAGGCGGCCGGATGCGGAGATAGCGGCACGGATACGGGTTCCAAGTGACAGGAGCCGACGAGGGAGAGGGGCGCCGGGACAGAAGAAGGGGTGGGGACAGCGGGAGGGCGGGGGCGGGGAAGGGTTGAGCAGGCGAGGAGAGCAAAGACAGGAACCCGGGAGCGGGGTCTGCAAGAAGGAGGCGAAAGATGGGCAGCGCGGAGTGAGGCCAGGCGCGGGAACAGCTGGGGCTGGGGTCGCAGTCAGGACGGAGGGGTCCGCGGGATGGGGACAGCGCAGAGAGGCGGCCTCGAGCACGGAGGGGACGCGGGGGCCGGAGGGAGGGACGGTTCCCAGCAGCGGGCAGTCTCCGCCCCACAGCTCCAACAGCCCCCCCACCACTCGCTCCCACGTCCCCTTCCTATGTCCGCCGCACTGTGCTCGGCGGCGGCGCGGGGCCTGGAATCCCCGCTGCGCCCGTAGCCCCGAGCGCCCTGTCCCCGCAGTCCTCACCTCCAGCGGGGAGGCGGCGCGCCCCGGGGCGCAGAGCGAGGCCGGATCCGACGGTCGCTGCCGAGGGGCCCGGCGGGAGCGCGGGGCCGCCCCTAGCTGGCCGCGGGGCCGGGCGCCGAAGCGGCTGCCATGTGAGCCGAGCGCTCGGGAATCTGAGGCTCCAGGCGACCCCGAGCGGCGGCTGCGGCTCCTCGCACGCGTTCAGGCCCCCTGCCAGGGGCGGAGCCCGCCCCCACCCCCCCGCGACGCACGGCGCACACCTAGCACCCGGCGCGCCCCGGGGCCCCGGCCTTCCGCGGCCACCCTACGCCCCAACCCAGCTTCCATCCACGAGAGAAGAAAATCTTAAGAGTCTCAATGGGAGCAAACTAAGAAGCCAGGGGCGCGCCACCTCGTTATTCTTCCATCTCCCATGCCCACTTTACCGCCCCGCGCTCCGCGGCCCACGCCCCAGCCCTGCCCTCGCCTGCCCGCGGCCCCTTGCGCTTCTCATATAGATCCCTGCACAGGCACTCGCTCCCCGCCCTCCGCCTGTCACCAGCCCACGCCTCCCCGCTTGTAAAAGCCTTTATCACCCTCTTCATCTGTGTGCTCCTCCGCTCCTCCTCGCCCTCCGCTTCCTCCTCTCCTCGTCGCCGTCTCCAGCCTTTCAGGATCGCTATACAAATATCAACCTGATCCACCCAACCCCCACCCCCGCCCTACCCCCACCACCCTTCCTTCACTCAAGTCTCAGCTCTTCCACCCCATTCCTTTTTGTGACCGCCTCTGAGAATCCTCCTTAGATTGGGAATGCCCCTGACTCCGTAAATGTGCGCGCAAATCCCCCTCCACCACCGAGTTCCTTCTCCCGTACCCAATGGCATTCGTCTTTGGCCTCAGGGTAATCCTCAACTGCCCAAACCCGGAGCTCAGATTGAGAGAGTAAGGTAGGGGCAGTGGGGGAAGTCTGCCCTCCCGGCCTCTTTTCGGCTCCTGGCTCAGAGACACATTTCAAGACAAGGACCCAGCCAGGTGCCGTGGATTCACGCCTGTAATCCCAGCACTTTGGGAGGCTGAGGCAGGCGGACCACCTGAGGCCAGGAGTTCGAGACTAGCCTAGCCAACATGGTGAAACCCCGTCTCTACTAAAAATACAGAAATTAGCCAGGCTGGTGGCGCCCGCCTGTAATCCCAGCTACTCAGAAGGCTGACACAGGAGAATCGCATGAGAACCCGGGAGGCGCAGAGGTTGCAGTGAACTGAGATCGTGCCACTGCACTCCACCTTGGGGGACAGTGATAGACTGTGTCTCAAAAAAAAAAAAAAAAAGGACCCACAACATAATTTCTAGTTTGTGCAGAACAAGAGGGCCGAGGTCAGGAACGATAGCACCCATCTCCAGTCCTTCAGATTGAGATCTCACCTCTTTAAATTCAAAACATCGGAAGGAGCAGTCCCTAGTCCATGCAGAGCAGCTTCTCACCTTCACACAGCCACCCCCACGGGCACAGAGCTCCTGGGCTCATTTTTCCTGCAATCTCCATAACACTCACACCCACCCAGCTCCCTAGCTGGCCTCCTCTCAACTGTGGTGGCCTCTTCCCTGAAGAGCTCTCTGAATTTGAGTAATGACATGGCTCTACCATTCATTTAGTTTAAAATTTTTCGGTGAAAAATTGCAAACAACCTGTAATTCAAAAATTACTGCAGGCAAATAAATTATGGTACATCAACC